GTAGAGGCTAAACTGGAATTTTTTGTAAAGTGCAGGGATGCAAAGTGTAATTTAGCCTCACATGTTTTTCATGTGACTAACCTTTGTTAACAATGAGACTAACAGAAGGGTCAAAGTGATACTTGACCAAAAGTGCAGGGGGTTAAGTGTCACAATTTGACGTGTAGGGGCCAAAGTGAGATTTGATGTAAAGTGCAGGGGTGCAAAGTGTAATTTACCCCTAATTTAATATACTTGCACATTGTAGGAAAATTTATACTTTTTGTGAGAGAAGTCATACATTTTGTGAAATGAAAGTTGTGAATTTTGAAGTTATGATGTGCACTTAAAAGTCATGTATAACTAAAGTTATATTTTTTGTGGTTATACATTTTATGAGAAGTAAAAAATTATAAATTTTGTGAAAGTAATTATGTTTTTTTGTTGCACTTCTCCCCATTTAAATTAGGTGTACCATATACACTTTATAATTACAAAAGAAAATAACATAATTTCATACTTTTTGAGTCATAATTAAAATAAAAAAAAAAAGAAGTCATAACTAAATATAAAAAAGTCATAATCAAATATCTCAAAATAATGTCATAATTAAAAAAAAATAGTTATAATTAAAAAAAAATGACTAACTAAAAAATATATAATATGAGAGTGTGTGTAATAGGATTCTCCTTAAACTAGATTTGGGTTGAGTTTTCACATTAAATAGTACAAAAAATCTATTTTTTAACCCCAAAAAGAAAAATATGGATGTAGTACAGAAAACTCAAGTGAGCCGACTCAAAACATATGGCATGAAATTTTCAAGAAAATACTATTATACATATATCATGCTGGATACACCTTTAGTTATGTCATTTTTTTTTTCTATAGTTATGACTAATTTTTTTTTTAATTATGACATTATTTTAAGACATTTGATTATGCATTATATAATGTTTCGTTATGATTTTTTTTTTAAAGTTATAACTCAAAAAATATGAAATGATGCCATTTTTTTCTTTAATTATAAGGTGGATGTGGTGCACTATGAGACAGATTTGTATGCGGATAGGATATATCCATGATATCTTCTATTATTGTGATTAGTGAAAAGTAGTGAAATTCTATACTTGCATGTCTCCATGCCCATTCATTTTGTTAAAAAAACATGATTTATTTATGTGTTTATAATTATCCGATAAATCTAATTTTTCGTATCGATAACCTATATTATAAAGCCTACAAAGTAGATGGTTTAGATGATCAAAATGAGTTTAAATTAAAGCTCACAAAAAAAAAATGGATGAATATAAAGAGATAAAGTAAGAAAGAGCGGCATATACATATTCAATATTCAATATGTATTATCTTTATTAATAAATTTATATTAAAATATAAAAATAATTAAAATTTTAATTAAACGTACAAAGATAATTTTTAAATTCAAATAAAATAGCATGCATAAGTCAAATGAAAATAAAACAAGCATTAAATTGATACGTTAATATCTACCAATCCAAACCGCAAAAAAGGAAGTTACCACCACATGGGGTCAGGATCCTCTTCTCGCCGTTCTTTTCCTAGTAATTTTCCTAGTTTATTTTCATTTGACAGTCGGTGAGTCTCTGTTTGGTGGAACTTTGGAATCATAGTTCTACTAATTACTTGAGTGTTGTATTTAGTTGGCTTTTTTAAAAATTGATTCCACATTCACTTTTCAAAACATGTCTATTCGGTCATTTTCGGACTTTCGATCGGTTGACCGGAATAGTATTTGATTTTTTTAATATATTTTAAATAAAAAAAAATGGATTTTTTTTAAAAAATTTTTATGGGTTTTGAATAGAACTTTAAATTATGTGTTTGGTTATAAGGTGTAAATTTTTGAATCAAATATCATATACCACATCATTTATTTCAAACTCAATTCAAAACTTATAATGAAACAAATTTTTTACACTCAAATAATAATTTCAAAACTCACTAACTCAAAATATAACTCTATTATTAAATTATAATTCTAAAACTCTACTCAACGCTACTATAATTTTTCCCAAAAAGTAAAGCCTCTGATGGTGGTATATAATTTTCCCCAAAAAGTAAAGCCTCTGATGGTGGTATATAATTTTCCCCAAAATGTAAAGCTGAGATGAGACGCTCATGCTTGTTTTAATAGATTTCTTCCCGAAATTTCCTCTACTGCGCATTGCCCCCTTTCCTTGTTATATAGATTTCTAGCCTTTGGATTGGATCAATCTAGGGTTATTTTGAGAAAATAGTTATAATTAATTTTTTGGTTAAAAATTGATTATAAGTTGATTATAATCAGTTTTTTGTGAGAGAGGAAAGTGGGTTATAATATGAGAAGTGGATTATAACCCACTTCCCAAAAGACCCCTAATGGTTCACAGTTTGTGATGGACTACTAAGTTGATTTGTGAGTCTTTCAAAAGGTAAAATCGTCATTTTACTTCTTTTTTTTTTATGTATTGCCGGTTTTATGTCATTTCTCTATTATGTTATTTTAGAGCATCTGTATCAGCATAGTCAAAATAATAAAAAGTTAAAATATAACTAGTAAATCACAAAAGTGTTCTTCCATTAGCCTTAACAAATTTTTTGTAAATTAACGTTTTGTTAAATTTGCTACAGTACCTCAACAAAAATAAAGAGGTACTGTTCATTCGTCACATAATTTTTTATTATATTTTCTGGAACAAAATTGAGCCAAAATCTTTAAACCGGTCGTCCAACTGGATGTCCGTGAATGCCTGTAGCAAAAGAAGAAAAAAATACCGAAAATTAGCCTAACCGGTCGACCAGCCGGTTGACTGGTCAACGGCAAATTTTTTTTTTTTTTTTGTTGCATTTTTTAAGAATTGTTTGGGTGGCACCTCATTAATTTAATAATAATAATAATAAAGAATAACAGATACAATAAGAAATTAAGGTAGCGTTTGGTAGAGTTTTGTAAATGTGATTTGAGAGTATGAGTTATATTTTGAGTTTGTGTGTTGTGGAATTATGATTTGAGTGTAGAAAATTTGTTTGGTAAAGAGTTTTGAAAATAGTTTTGGAAAAGAGGTTTGATTTGAGTGGGGAATTATTGATGTGACATTTGATATGTGATACAAAAATTTACAACTCATAACTAAACATACAATTCAAAATTATTTTAAAGCACATAAAAAATTTTAAAAATTTCAGAAAATATTTTTTTCCATTATATAAATCAATTGCAAAAAAAAAAACAAAAAAAAAATTACTGTTCCGGACAGCCGGCCGGACGACCAGCCAGTCGTCCCGCCAAGCAAGATTTTCCCCAACAAAAGAAAAAACGCGTCTGTCAAAAACAGAACAATGCAGGTGTTCTGTGCAGAGTTCTCAAACATCATTTGAGAATCACAACCAAACACCATGCTTGAATTAAGGTGTGGAATTGTGATTTGAAATCACAACCAAACACAGCCTGAATGTTTGGGTTAACTGTTTGACTTTTTATAGAAAAATGTATATTAAAAAATTATATAAATTAGTGTGTAGGGGAAAATTAAGATTAGAAGTTGTGCAGCTGTACTTTTTAACTTTTGGTGAATAGTGATAACTTTTTAACTTTTTAAATAACTTTTTGAACACATGCCAAACTTGACCTTAGTCTCTTTCTTCTTTTTTTTCTCCACTTGCAATGGTAAGTCAAGTTAATCAAACTAGTCAACTTTACACACACACACACTTCATACGAACAATGCATATTTGCGCCAGGAAAGGTCTATGGAAATAGAAAACTAATCAGAAAATTAGAATTTTTTTTACAAAAAAAATTAAACATTAATGTTAAAAAAAAAATGTCCGACATGTAAAAAATAAAATAAAAAATAAATAAAAATAAAAAATTTCTAGTCCGCCGGACTATTTTTCTAATACCAAATCCTGAAAACCTATCAGAATCCCATCTGCAAGGTCTATCCTAAACTCTTCAACTTAATAGACCATTTCTCAACTCTATAAATAAACACACATTAAATCGGGCTCACAGCTATCCTGTCCCCTCTTATACTCCAAAACAAATGGGGAAAGTCGGGCGGGGGGTATTGACGTCTATCTCCAAAACAATATCAGTACAAGGACTGAAGCTTTGGTGTTTTGACTTTCCAAACACCGCTTTATATATGTATACCTCCTCCCATTAGAGCATCTCCAGCCCTGAACCAAAATTTTCACTAAATCTAAGTAAGAAAATGACTTTTTCCTCAATCTGATACCGAGTAGTCCAACGATGCATCAAATCCCGTGGGTCAACCGGTTGGTCGACCGATGGGTCGACCGGTGAGGGTAAATTTTTTTTTTTAAAAAAAACCCTTTTGAACTATTTGAACCCATCGTTGTGGACTGGGGAAGGGGCGACCGGTTGGTCGACCGGCCAGCCAAATTTTTTTTTTTTTCCCTCCATTTCTGTTCCCAATTCTTTTTTCTATTTCGTTTTCCCTCCATTTTTCCTTCCATTACATATATATGTCTGGCGTATGAATTATGCTCTCACATAAATTCATTATCCATATGCCAGACAATTCCACAAAACTGATACGATCATAACTTGAACAAAATAGAGCATCATGAATACCTTCAAATCCATGATATTGACTTCATTTTCATCCTCCTCTTCTTCTTCCTCTTCCTCTGATGATGAATCTGATGATGAATATATCGTCACACTTGTAGGAGCTTATGAGCAGAACAATACTAATATGTTTCATATTCTGAAGAGTGATTGCTCAAAGAAGGTAGGTGGTTCTGTTGTAGGTCATAGGTATATACACAAAAATAGAAGGCAGGGTCACGACAGATTGTTTGGAGATTATTTTGCTGCAAATCCTGTGTAATTGCCTACAGTATTTCGGAGACGTTTTCTAATGCGTCGTCCTTTATATCTACGAATTTTGAATGCAATCCAAGCACACAATTCATATTTTCTTCAAAAACAAGATGCTTGCCGTGTACTTGGATTATCTCCCCTACAAAAAATGACTTCAGCGATGAGAATATTGTCATATGGTGTTGCAGCAGATGCAGTTGATGATTACATACGTATCGGAGAAAGTACTGCAATTCAAAGTTTGCAATAATTTTGTAATTTAGTGATTGAAATATTTGGTGAAGAATATCTGAGATCTCCAACACCAACTGACATTGCTAGATTACTTGCTATTAGAGAGGTTCGGGGGTTTCCTGGCATATTGGGAAGTTTAGATTGCATGCATTGGGAGTGGAAAAATTGTCCAAAGGCATGGCAAGGTCAATATGTAGGCCATCAAAAGAAGCCAACCATTATTCTTGAAGCAGTAGCATCTTATGACTTATGGATTTGTCATGCATTTTTTGGAATGCCTGGCTCACACAATGACTTGAATGTGTTGGACCGATCGCCTTTGTTTTCTGATCTTGCGCAAGGTAAAGCTCCCCCTGTCCATTACACGATTAACGGACATAATTACGATATGGGTTATTACCTTGCTGATGGTATATACCCTCAATGGGCTACACTGGTTCAAACAATTTCTTCTCCCCAAGGAGCAAAGAGACAACATTTTGCAATGATGTAATAGTCTGCCAGGAAAGATGTAGAGCGGGCATTCAGAGTCCTTCAATCTCGATTCGCAATTATAGGCGGTGCTGTACGTTTTTGGGATTCGAAAATGCTTGCCAACATAATGAAGACTTGTATTATTTTACATAATATGATTGTCGAAGATGAGAGGGAGGAACACCTTTACTTCAATTATGAAATTTCATCAGCCAACACACCAGTGCAACTTTCCTCTACTCCTACGAATGACTTCCAAACATTTTTGTCTCGTCATTTAGGTATTAGAGATAAGGATGCATATCATGCACTCCGTAATGATTTAGTAGAACATATGTGGCATCTTCATGGTGAACACTAAATTCATCACAGCAATACATGTAATTTTGTTTCAAGTTTTGGAATCAAAGGTTGTCTTGTTTGTAATCTTCATGTTTGTAAGCACTATATGAACTAAGTAATTCAGAAGTTATGTGATGAGCTGCTGTTGGTCTGATTCAATCTTTAATATTCAAAATTGTGCAGTGTTCAATTCCAGCCTGAATACGTCTTCAAATATCACATAAATTTAATAATCATGTCTTCAAATTTTTGTTGATGTGCTAGAAATCATAATACCACATCCATTTACGCACATTTCATAATTATGTCTTAAATGATAATTACTGATGTTGATATGCATAATCATAATTTCATAATAATGTCTTAACTGATAATTAGTCTTCTTAATTTAATAATAAAACCTCAAAGTACTGCATAATCATTATTTGTGCATAATCATAATTTCATAATAATGTCTTAATCATTATTGATGTGCCATTGATTTACTGATGTTGATCTTCCCATTCATTTATTACCTCACTTGACATGCATTCGACAGACAGAGTAAAAAAACACTTAACAAGCCTTCAACTATTTGTCTTCAATTATTTGAACATGAATGTAGATAAATGCATTCCACCTACAAATCATAATGTGTTCAATTATTTGTGCACACACTACGCTGCATACGTTTGAGCCACCTACCTTTCATTAAACACATACCACTTACCAGTCAGTGACTTCATTCCATCTACCATGCCTCATTTTGCACACACCTTGACTTGTTGAGTATTAATTTCCTCACCACCTACCTCAAGAATGGAGCCTCTATATCAACTGACCGACCACTTCATTCCACCTCTATACCAAGGGAAACATTTGAATACCTCTCAGCACTGAATACCTTCATTCCACCTTCATTCCACTTTCACCGAATACCTTTCCCACAGATTGCATACCTCTGCCACCAAGGGAAACATCTGCATCAACAAAGACAGGAACAAGCACAAGCAGGCAGCATCCAAAACAGCATCGAAACAGAGTAAATTTTGGCACGGAGCAACCGGTTGGGCAACCGGCCCTCTTTTTTTTTTTTTTTTCAGTGTATGCTGTCATTTTTCGATTTTAAAGCTGTATTTATTCAACTTGATTTTTATTTGTTCAACTTTAAACTTCATGTTTGAATCAAATTATATGTTCAATATTTGAAAAATTAATATGATGCCTATTTTTCTGGGACTAACTTCTATGTACTGGCATATGCCTCATTTTATAGTTTCAGTATGCACTTCAAGAAATTGAACATAATATGACAAATGATTTAATAATTAGTATGCACTTCAGTATACAAACTACATGTCATTACTATGCCTCAAAAACAAATATAATTTTTATTCTAGAATGGACATCCAAACAGATATAACAGAAGATTGGTTTTTTCTTGATAATTCAAACATTATTTTTATTTCTATTTTTATTTGCTAGTGCATGTGTGTTATATCAGTATGCATTCACAAAATACTTCTCCAGATCACATTTGACTTCTCATGTCAGCATGCATTCAAGAAACTCTCCTGAAGTTCACATTTGGCTTCTCACTACCTATCACACACACTCACACACAGAACAAGATGATGATTTAAATTACACCACCAAATAAATTTGAAACACTAAGGATTATTATTGTCATGTTAATTTGAGTACAAATTGCCAAGGGATTTACAAAAACAGAAGTTGAATTTTAGTACAAATTGGCAAGGGATTGGCAAGGGATTATTACTGTCATGTTAATTCGAGTACAATTTCAGACCTGATTTAATCTCATCATATGTAATTATGCACTTCAGTATGCAGTTCAGTTTATTGAACATGTAATATGAAAATGCACATGTTAGTAGGCATACTACAAGTTGGTCATGTTTTTCGATTTTAATATGTATTGTAATATTATAACTATATTCATTTCAATTCTAAGTTAATGTTTTCATAAAGAACACCAAGCCACCTGTAATTCACCCTTCATATGTAACACATATTCATTAAAATTCAACAGATATTGACATCATGCCTAGAACTAAAAGAGCGAGACCACAAGTTGGTGAAAGTTCCAACCTTCCACGACGCGAAGAACAGCAGCGTCAAAATCAGTCATATCCTACTGATGATTTTCTCAGTGAAAGTCATGCACTAGCCTTTCCAAACTTCTCCAGCCGACAGATTGTAACAGGGAGGCGGGTAAATCTGCCATCTCAATATGATGCACTATTAGTTACTAAACTTGAAACAATGGGGTGGCAAAATTTAATTAATTTACCCCAAAATGTATATCCGCGGCTGGTATCTCTATTTTATGTTCACCTAAGAGGTACTCAAGAAGAAGATGGAAATTTCACTCTGTTGTCATATGTGAAAGGAAAGGGTATACAGTTTGATATTCCTACTTTGGCAAGCATTATTGGAGTTGAGTTAGGTGATGAAAATATCCATTTTCATACTGAGGCTGACTTAGCTAAAATCATTGGTAATGCTACTGACGTATATACTAGTATTTGTCGGAACAGATTTACTGGGACTAGTCTACAAGCAAGACATTTGAAACCTTATCTTCGGATTCTCCACCGGTGAATTGTAGAAAATGTCACTCCAAAAAAAGGACATCATGATGCGGTCCCATATTTTAATGCCTATTTGTTATACTGTTTTGAAGTTGGTCATAAGTTAGATTTGTGTTACATAATTATGAAAGAAATGATAATCGCAAATCAAGGTCAATTCACGGGCCGGTCATTACTGTTTGGGGCACTGTTGACCAAAATTTTCAAACATTTTAGGGTTCGGCTTGTAGATGAAACGGAGATGAAAATCAGGTCACCCATTAATCAGTATACAGTGACTCGTGTTGGTGCAGCCTCCAATTTAATGGGAAGTGATAATGCTACAGAGGATTCAGAAGATGAAGTCCCACCAGATGATGCTCCACAAGCTCCTCCTGCCAATGTGATGCCATCAATTGAACAACCTCAATATTGGACTGAGTTTTTGGCCATAGAAGAACAACGTTATAATGAACGCGTTCAATGGGAACAGCAAATGGCTAATCAGGTCAATTCATTGGGTACTCAGTTTGATACATTTGCCACTGCCCAGAATTCATTAATTCAACAATTTGGTGAATTCCGTGTAGATATTGAGCATTGCGTAGATACGATTGAGCATCGGGTAAATGACATATACCAGCACTACTACCCTTCTCCTCCACCACCACCGCCACCTAATGACTGTTGATGTATTTCACATTATGTATTTGTTTTAGTTTCAGTATTTTGTTCTTTTAACAACCTTTTGTTGGGTCAGTTTGTTAACGAGGACGGTAGTAATTAAAACCAATTCACTTATGACATTGGCCTATTGATATATATACTTCATATTGTGGTTTTTCATTTTAATGCCTATTTGACAAAGGACATTATTATGTACATTCTGAAAATGCTACAAAAAAGGTCATTAACCATTTCTGATTTTGTGGTATAAATCTGGTTATAGTACTGATTGGCATATTCATTGACATATCATTTTAAAGAAGACGAGGTTAATTAAAAAAAATGACATTGAAGTACAAGCCAAAGATCTCCCTATTCAAAAAAACATGGCAACAATTAGACATTGACCTTGAAAGATGGCAAAAATACATGGCAAAAATTCATAAAACCAATAAAACTAACCAATACAAGTTAGATGTAATAATTTTAAATAATAAAACTAATGGATGAAACCCACTAATACAGAACCTTTCAACGCAATCTACTAGTTGATCGAAATAAAATCTGTCGTTGAAGATCTTTGTAGTACGCCCTTTGCATAGGATTTAAAATTGTCATGTCCATTGACATTATTTTATGATCTTCATTTTGTTGTTCTCTTTCATTCATCATGGATAGGAGTTTTAGTTGTTCCTCCCTATCTTCGGCCCTTCTTCGATGCTCTGCAGCCTTCTGCTCACGGTCTATTGCCTTTTGTTCATCTCGCTCAATAGTTCTAGCGGAGATACTTGATAACACTTCAACAATTTTAGATTGGTTGGCAGCCATTTCATCAAATCTACTATCATGCGTTGTTTGATTCTTTAGCTTCTCTTTCGCTGCCTTAGTACCAATTGGTCGTGTTGATGTGTTAGATGGTTGTTCGTGCACCGCATTATTCTGGTTGGATTGAGAAGCGTCAAATTCAGCTGGCAGATTGAAACATGGATCAGCATGTTGCGTGGTTCTTTTTGATCGAAATTCATCCCACTTACAACTTCGGCGCAAAATATCCCAGCATGTATCAAATGTGAAGTGTTTTTTCTGTATTACATGATACATCCGCTTCGCTTCAGTGACCTAAACAAAAAATTATAAAGATTCAATAACAAGTATATATTTAGAAAAGAAAATTGATATTTAATAACACAAATAAATTTTACCATATCTGCCTCAGTTGTTCCACTTTGTTTCCTCAGTTGAATTTGCTCAAGAAAACCACAGAATTTATTAATGGCCTTTTGCATGACAGACCAACGGTGAGATAAAGAAATACGATTTCGATTTGATTTACTGCGCATTTGTGAATTAAAATAAACCAGTACTCGTTCCCAAAATATAGCCATAGTCTGACTATTACCAGTAATGGGATCTTGAGAGACTACTAACCAAGATCTACATAAAGTTTCATCTTCTATAATTGTGAACGCTTTACCACGAGAAAAACAAGAAGTTTCTGAAATAAAAGGATTATCATTGTTCTGCGTGTTCTGCTCTCTTGAAGATTCCGACATAAAATTAATATCAGTGTTTTGCTCCAACATTTGTGATTCTCCAAACATTTCGAAATCTTCCATACTTTGAAAAAAATACAGTATACTTACTAAAAAATATTCGAATGATATAAGCTCAAACTCAGAATCAGATAATTTATTGAGATACTAACAATTAAAATTTCAAGAGAAAAAAATATGTATTGACACAAAAGAAACAAAACTCACAACATATAAACTTAATGGTATTTTGAAAATGAAATACTCTGTCTTCATATTCTGAAAATGAAATACTGTCTTGGTATAGAAATCAGATCTATTTTATATAGCCCACTTTCAACGGTAAATTTTTAAAATAGTCTGTCCATCCAACGGTAATTTATTATTATAACGGCTAGTTCTGTAATATATATGTAAAAGGTAACAATTTTATTTATATTTTGAAGAAAATTAAAATTTAGATCACCCTCTAAATTATTCATAATCCACAAAGTAAACTATGTCAAAATAACCCAGCTCAAACAACATGAAATGAAACCAACCAGTTCATATGCTACCCTCAAAACTGTAGCAGATGCTAGCCGAAGGACTCAATCCGGTGGACTGGTTGGTCAACTGGCCGGTTGACCGGTTTCTCCTAAACGGCCACGGTTCAAACCAAGCAGTTACCAAGCAGTTCAAGGAGGTCAAACCAACCTTGACGCAGAGGGCGACCGGTTGGTCAACCAGTCGGGCAACCGACTGGTTGACCGGTTCCTCCCTCCAACGGCCGCGCACAGTGTTTTGGTTAAATCTGTATACTGTTCTCACTTTAATGATTTGTTTGCTGAATTCTGAATTTGATACCGGTTTGGTGAAAGCGTTGGAGCATGAAAAAGTGATTTTTTCACCAAATTTTAAATTTGATGACAGGTTTGGTTCAAGGTTGGAGATGGTCAAATCTAATCCACACCAGCACCGTATGAATTTTGTGAGAGTGTCGGAAATGAATCCGTCTGAAACAGTTATTCAACTCCCTCCGGATGTAGCGGTGCCGCCGCTTGAATCTACTCTTCATGTTCAAGCTCCCAATCCTCCTGATGCCGCCGCCGAGCCTTCTGAATCGCTAGCCTAAGCTCCTCCTCCTCTTGATGCCCCGCCTGAACCAGTAATTCCACGCAATGCTCAGCAACAAGACTTAGAATTGCCGAAGCTAGTTGTAGTGTTCTACTTGACAGCAGCTTTTGAAATCGCCTTCCGATTCGTCCAGACTCGTAAACACTACCCTATAACCTTCCAATTGTTGTGTCTCTTAATGGTGTTTGCACTCGCTTTTCTCGTTGTTGCTAAATACATCGTTGCCAACTACCCAAAACCAGGCCGCTTGCTTGAGCATGCTGGACTACTCTGTGGAGTTACCGCTTTCTTTGTGGCCATCACCGTCTCTTTCCCCCTCTGCCTCAAACTCATTTCTTGGATCGTATATGCTCTTTCATTGCTTGCCATTTCCATCTGCCTTTCCCTCTCTGCCTCAAGCTCATTTCCTGGATCGTATATGCTCTTTCATTGCTTGCCATTTCCATCTGCAATTGCCCTCCACCACTATGAGCCCCTAATGCTAATCCTGTAGCACAGGATTGTCATTAAGGTTGCTTTTTTATGGATATTAATTTTAATAATTATTAACTGCTTTTGGTCACATATAATATTTGAATAATGCGATATGCATCAATTAGTGTACCAATTGGTGATATGACATAATTTAAGATGTTTTTGGTATTTATAATGTGATTAATAAGTGGGGTGAATAATAATGTCATAACTAGTGTTATACTAGTTAGTACCATATAATTGGTGTATGTAGCACCACCAATAATATTTATATATATTTGTGGCCACTCTTAATGCAGGACTAGTAGTACTTAAACTTGCATGGATAGGATTTGAGAGTTTTATACTGTTTGTAAAATGGTTTTGTTTATTGGAATTACTTCGTTGCATCAATTATTAGTATAGTTTCATTTTTTTGATTATGATCATTGATAGTGAGTGTGTAAGGGCTAGCATATGATTGAATTGCACAGGAACTCCCATTTGCAAAATTTTCAGGATCTGGAATCTGAAATTCAATTGTTTACTTTTCCTCTTCAACTCACTGTATGATAAATTGTGGAAACTAAGAGATTGCATCGACTGTTCACAAGAAATGTGCATTTGATCCCAAAAGCGATATTATTAATGCAATTTGGTGATGGAAAACAAGTAGTGAACATTTTTGTTATTACTTAAGTTCGATTATTAATAAGCATGATGTGGTTAGAGGTGCTATGATTCATTGGATCAAAATATATTGGTTAAAGTGGAAGAGTATGCGACATATTGATGTATTCTGTGATTCGTATGAATTTACTTATTTAACTAAGCATAAAATCATTGATAGAAAAATGATTCGTGTAGCTAGCCACACTTGAATGGCACATAAAACTGAGTTTTGATTTGGTTTGGTTTTTGTGATGGGGCATATTCAATAAATGAATTCCATCAAAACAAGAAAAAATCTAGGAGAAAAGGGGGAAAATCCAAGGAACAAATCCCATTGCACATATTGTCACCACTTTTCAAGATGATGTGAAACTATGTTGGAGAATCTTTTATTGAAGGCCAGCTCCTTCTTCTTCCTGTGTAATAACTTGACTAGGTAATTGGTATTTCATGTGAAAATGGTTTTGGTATCACAATTTGTAAGTATTAACAAAAAGCCTCAAAAAGCAATGAAGTTTATGCTAAGACTTCTTCTAGAATACAAAAACAACGCCACATCACAAAACAATTGGATAATCTTAAATTTCTTGTTAAAAATTCTTTTGCGGTGAAGATGACGGTTGTTAATGCACTTTGTTGTCATTTAGTTGTTAGATAGCTTGATAGACATTGTTGGGTCCATTTCCTAATAGTTTAAGCTTTTGAAAAAAAATTGGTAATGTAACATGGTATCAGAGTTTTGGTTGAGAGAGATCTTGGGTTCAAGTCTCTCAGTTGACATTTGGTATTTTGTCCCTGTTTGGTTTCTCCCTCTTTGTTTTGTTGTTTGATTCTCCTTCTGTTTGGTTCTCTGTTTGTTTCTCCACGTGCAAGACGGGATTGCGCTTGAGAGAGGCTGTTAGATAGCTCGATATATATTGTTGGGCCCATTTCCTAATAGCTTAGGTTTTTGAGAAAATTGGTAACTTAATACTAATGGTGGTAAAAAAATATATATATATATTATTCATGTGCCAACATTTTTTTAAATGTTTCTCATGTTGACATGCTGTTGAAATGTCTGTTGACAAATTGGTGGACAATGGATCCTTGTATTGTTATTATAGTGGTTTAACTTTTCAATGTCAATGTCTTGATTGGTAGAAAATTACAAGTTAAATAAATTACACTAGCAATATTAATTTGTTGCATGATTTCTTTTCCCTTTCCTAAGTGAGAATTGCTTGTTTATGGATTCCTGACTTGTTTATGGATCTGACTCTGATAAGTTCTATAATACAAATATATATATTGAATGGTATAACATTCCTTGTTTTTTGAACTAAAATATTAGTCTTTAATTTCATCTAATCATTAATGTCAACCATGTGGAACTGCTCTAATATGTACTGATGTTGATTGCATGTTGTTCTTTGAAGGGATTGGAAATAAGCAAAGAAGCATGAAATGGAATAACAGGTGCACAATACATGTCCAGCTTCTTCTTCTTCCTGTGTAATAATTTGACTAGGTAATTGGTATTTCATGTGAAAATGGTTCTGGTATCACAATTTGTAAGTATTAACAAAAAGCCTCAAAAAGCAATGAAGTTCATGCCAAGACTTCTTCTAGAATACAAAAACAACGCCACATCAAAACAATAGGAGAATCTTAAATTTCTTATTAAAGATTATTTTGCGGTGAAGATGACGGTCGTTAATGCACTTTGTTGTCAAGATTTATTTTCCCTTTCCTAAGTGAGAATCTCTTGTTGATGGTTTCTTGACTTGTTTATGGATATGACTTTGATATGTTTTCACATACAAATATATATATTGAATGGTGTAATATTCCTTATTTTTTGAACTAAAATAGTAGTCGTTGATAATCTTTAATTTCAACCATGTGCAACTGCTATAATTTGGTACTGAAGTTGATTACATTTTGCTCTTTGAAGGGATTGGAAATAAGCATAGAATAACAGGTGCACAATACATGTCCTGTTCTTGAAGTTTGTGTTTTCTGCTTTGTATTTGTGTGTATGCTTCTTGAACTTGTATTCACTAGTTAATTGTTTCAAATATATGCTTCAAATTTGCATAATAGTGCTTTTTGATTTTATTGATTTACAATGTGTTAGTTGCATTTAGTTTTCTTGTAAATTTGTAGTGCATTTCTTCCATTGTGCAACATCATCTATTTCTAACTGAATTATAATAAATATGGATGCATCTCATAGTGTTTTTTATTAGAATAACATCTCATTTTTCATTTGGTAACCCAAGCTACTTGAATCTCAGTTTGCATGGCTGGATGCTGATATTTGCCATTAAAGTTATGCAAATATTGTAAAAAATTGAACTCTTTCTTTTGAAGTACCGGAGTAGTCTATAAACTAATATGCAATTCAATAGCATTATACATAGTGGCTCACAAGGCTAACTAACAACATAATCTATATCTAGGTGAGTATGAGGTGGATAAATTAACTTACCAACCAGTCTCTGATATCTCTCCCTGTCAAATTAATCTTTAGTTTCATCCCCTAACATGCAATTCTGCTTCAACATGGTATCAATAGCTTTATACCCAAGCACACTTTGTCCTTAAGAAGGTCCAAAACATATGTTCTTAGTAAGATAAACACACTCTTTGAGATGTTGCAACGTCAATACTCAAGAAGTACTTCAAGTCACCGAAGTCTTTTATCTCAAACTCCTTAGTAAGATAGCTATTCAACTCCTGCTTTTTCTATGGATCAAATATCATCAACATACACAAGGAGTGCAGTAACCTTGTTTTCATGTTAAATAAATTGGGTATGGTCATCTTGACTCTGTTTGTAGCCACATCTAAGCATAGCCCAAGTAAACCTCTCAAATCATGCTCTAGCAGACTTTGTAGGTGAAAGAGTACTTTTGGCATATTACACTAGCAATATCAGACTTTGTATGCTTCAAATTTGCATAATAGTGATTTTTTATTATATTGATTTACAATGTGTTGGTTGCATTTAGTTTTCTTGTAAATTTGTAGAGCATTATTTCCATTGTGCAACATCATCTATTTCTAACTGAATTATAATAAATATGGATGCATCTCATAGTGTTTTTTCATTTGAATAGCATCTCATTTTTCATTTGGTAGCCCAAGCTACTTGAATCTCAGTTTGCATGGCTGGATGCTGCTATTTGCCAATAAAGTTATGCAAATATTGTAAAAAATTGAACTCTTTCTTTTGAAGTACCGGAGTAGTCTACAAACTAATATGCAATTCAATAGGATTATGCATAGTGGCTCACAAGGCTAACTAACGGCATAATCTATATCTAGGTGAGTATGAGATGGATAAATTAACTTACCAACCAGCCTCTGATATCTCTCCCTGTCAAATGAATCTTTAGTTTCATCCCCTAACATGCAATTCTGCTCCAACATGGTATCAATAGCTTTATACCCAAGCACACTTTGTCCTTAAGAAGGTCCAAAACATATTTTGTTAGTGAGGTAAACACTCTCTTTGAGATGTTGCAACGTCAATACTCAAGAAGTACTTTAAGTTACCAAAGTCTTTTATCTCAAACTCCTTAGTAAGATAGCTATTCAACTTCTGCTTTTCTATAGATCAAATATCATCAACATAGTAACCTTGTTTTCATGTGACTGTTGAATAAATTGGGTATGGTCATCTTGACTCTGTTTGTAGCCACATCTAAGCATAGCCCAAGTAAACCTCTCAAATCATGCTCTAGCAGACTTTTTAAATCCTATAATGCCTTTTTAAGCTTGCACACTCCCATAAACTGAGTAATCCTCAAAGCCAGGTGGAACATCCGTAAATACTTCTTCCTCCAAGTCTTCACAGAGTAAAGCATTCGTCATATCTAATTGTTAAAGAGGCTCAATATGTTAATTCTCTAGAATAGGCCACATGAAGAGCTTTCGAAATGGCAATGCTGTGAATTTCAGTCAATTTGAGTTCTTAACTAACTTGCCATGAGACAAAATTGCATGCTCATATCAGTGAGTTTTTTCAGGACTATGTCATGTCAGAGAAATTCTACCTTGCAGCAAACTTGCCTCCACATCGTCTGGCTTATTTATTCTCTTTTCTGCAAATTGTGCTTTAAGCCACATGAAATGTTCATGAGTACTGTCATTGCTTCTAATCTGGATTTTCACATGACTTTGTAGATACATCTCTCATTGATAACATCTAAAATAACTTCAAAAGCCTGATAAGTGATGAGCGCTTGACCGGTCGCAATGACCTTCGGTGCTATTACTGGAATAGAACAACCAACTTCACTGGATAATTATACTTGATTGACTAGCATAAGCAAATAATATGAAGTGCCAAGCACTTAAAAGGTATTGGTCATTCTCAGTGACTCCTATTAGTTCTTCTGTGTCATTTTACATCCTTTAACATTTGCTCAATATTGATGACTGCATATTTCAATAAACTCACAGAATTTGACTTTCTTTATAGAATGCTTGCATGGCAGTGAAGCTGTAATATCTACTCAGATAGTTCTCACATCCTGATTATCTCTAGCATGTGAGTGATTTTATCTATACATTATCCACTTATTATATAAATGAGTTCAAATTTCCAGTTGCAGGATGTTGATGAATGAAACACTGTCAATGGCAGATCCTTGAACTTACCAAAAAAAAGAAAAAAAGGAAAGAAAAGAAAGAAAGGTAGATCCTTCAACTTATACTTATATGATGAACAAAATATTCCAGTTCAGATTCAATTACTATATGCTGATATGCCAGTAGCTAGGGACTTCATTTTCTTGTTTAGAGGCTTATTACCATCGATTTTATTGCTTTGTATGCTATTTAACTTGTTACAAAGCCTTGTTTTTAGTGTGACTCTGTTGGATTCTATGTCAGTTTCATTGCTAAAATGAACAATTAAGATTACTGGAAAATCTATTACTCTCAACATAGAGAATTCTAACCTGCTGAAGCTAGCAGATGCTAATTTTTTATTTCGAGTCAGCTTGAGGATGGTTGCACTGTGGCAATGCATTTTTCTACTGGTTAAATGGGGGATCATCTCCCATAAAAATAAAAGAAAAGAAAGAAAGATAGAAAGTGAAAAAAGGGAAAAAAAAATGGTGGATCATCAATCTTACATGACAATAATATTCTGTTTAACTTGTTAAAAAGCCTTGTTTTTAGTGTAACTCTGCTGGGTTCTATAGCAGTTTTATTGCTGGTATGAACAATTAAGATTACTGGAAAATTTGTTACTTTCAACATAGAGAGCTCTAACCAGCTGAAACAAGCAGATGCTAATTTTTATTTCGAATTAGCTTGAGGATGGTTGGACTGTGGCAATGCATTTTTCTATTGGTGAAATGGTGGATCATCAATCCTAATGACAATAATGTTTTCTGTTGTAGGCAATGTGAGGTTAGTTGGCTTTTCTAACATAAATTCTTCAACTAATTAAGGCGTAGTGATGGCTAAAGGAAATTGTTTGCTAGTGAAGATCCAGTCATCCTCTGATCAGCTGCTATTATGTTGCCTGGGTATTTTTTATATTAACATTAATAGGTACGGGTGAACCGCTGATATGTACCTTGGGTATTTTTTATATTAACATCAACAGTTAGGGGTGAAGAATGGAACATTTCATTTTGCATGACAACTTGGTAATTTGAAATATACTTTTATAATCATATTACTGTACAAGGGATGTTTATCTTGCACTTGTGAATAGGGATTTTCTGGACCAAACAACTGTTTGGCTCAATTGATTTGTACATGAAGTTGACATCCTCTTACTTTTGTTTCACATCCAAGTCTTTCCTACAAACCTGTATTGTCCAACAAGATGAGGGATTTTAACTTTGTTAATTAAAAATTTCTTTTCTATGGTAGAAATGTGATTCTCGAACAATTAAGAGCTGCCAAGGTAGTGAAACGGCACATGAATAAATCATCTTCTCAGAGGGAACAAGGTTTGACGAACCAAGACATTGATTATGGATGTTCTAATGAAATTCAGCTGTGACATTGAAGTTTATTTTGTGCCGTTGATGTTGTCCTGTTTCGTTACATTCTGATTTGTTTCTAAAGTGACAAAAGTTGAAGTTTCCCTGAAGTAGTCACTCAAGAATAATGTGGAGCACTCCCCAGTTGCACAAGTGACCTCTACATACTGGAGAGCTGTCCATAAGCTACTCCAGATCCAGAACACCATTTCAGAGTCCCAGAAGCACCAGGTAATTTTTCTACTCTTCAATTTTCTTTTTCTTTTTCTTTTTTGGCTGCTCTGTGTCAAATATTCTTCCCTAGCTTTCCCACTACACCTTCTGCTGCGTAAACCCTAAAGACTGCAGTGTCAACCAATTTCTTTGGTCGTTGCTCAACATCGTCTTAATTGGCCCAAGCAAATGATAGCATTTTGCTTAACTTCATCTGTCAAAATAGCTGTTAATTCTAATGTGTAAAGAGAGAAATACAGAGAATAATGTATCTATATTATTATTGATTGATGTATTACAAGATTGTTGTGTATCTGTATTGTATGTGATAATTACAAAGAGAAGGAACTCTCTCTTTATAGAGAGAAGAATAAAACATTGGATACCAACAAGACCCACTATCACCGAAAGCAACAAAAGGAATAAAGCTAAAGTTATACAATTTATATACTAAAGCTAAAGCTAATTAACAATTATAAATTAACAATTATATATTAACAATAGCCATCCAATTTATTCAAACCTGACTACTCTAACTTCCTCCAATTTTTATTTTTTTTCCCTTGCATTCTCACTAGCCTTTGCCTCCCTCTTTGTAGTGACTTGCTATCTTCTTTGCTGCCACAGCATTCTGTATTGCTATTTGATTCCCTACAACAGCGGTCCTCCATGCACCAACTGGTCTGTTTATGCTGTCTCCTTGCTACTCATTCTCATATACACCACACTAATAAGCGTGAACGAGAACATCAACAACCCCCCCCTCCCCTCAAAAAAAAAAAAAAAAAACACACACACGCATTTTATCCAGCATCTGTAAGAATATGAGCATGTACAATCACACTTCAGAGTATGGAAGGTTTTGTTTGAGCAATTTGCAGAGAACGAAAATGCTTTGGTGGGAAGGCTACCCACTTCAGAAATTGTTGTTGAAAATCTTCCATTGGTGTTTGTGGATTACAACAATGCACTTTGTGTGGTTTGTAAGGATGATACAAAAATTGGGGAACAAGGAAAGCAGCTACCTAGTTCACTCCTTTACCAAAGAGCATGTCATGTGCAGTAAAGTATTTTAAGCTCAGGTTTAATCTTGAAGTTTTTTTTCATGAGCATCAGATTGTATCCATTGTAGATGATGATTTCATTATGCAAATCACTTATATTTTCATCATTGTAGATAATTATGTTTTGCCCCATGTGTAATTTACCTCTTGACAAATGAGCATGTAATTTTCTTATGTCCAAGAACGTATTTCACTGTTCAATCCACAAACCATGGAGGATAATCACACATAGATCAAATTACAAAGGGTAAATTCCACCTTACTTTGGGAAAAAAATACTCTAGTAAGGAAAAATGGCTAGGGTTTAGTGTGTTTAATATTTCAATTAAAATTTGAAGGTTTGGTGTGTTTTATATTTCAATTAAAATTTGAAGGGTTTGGTGAGTTTTATATTTCAATTTAAATTTGAATAAACATGAGGTTCTTTGTACTTTTGTGTTGTTTTGACATCCATGTGGTAATGGTTCAATGATTTGCTCATGTGTAGTAAGTTATTTTTCGTTCAAAATTTGATTTGAATCAATAATTGGGTGAAGATTGAGGTAGAATTTTATGAAATTATAGAAGAATAAACTAGGGTGAATTACATTAACAGTTCTTATAGTTTGAAACCCGTGTTATTTTGATCCTTGACTTTTTAATTGCGACACATGTGATTATCAATTTTGAATCTTGTTTCAAATAAGGGCAATTGAAGATACCATTGCTCAATTTTAAGGACAAAGTCGTCAATTTGATAGAATATATACTAATTTGACAAAAATAAATGTTAAAAAAATATTTTTGAATTTTTACAAATAATTTATACTCGCCAAGATGAAATTATGTAATGATATCAAATAGAAACTAATTTAATAAAAATAAAAACAACCACCGATTACATGATCATCATCCAAACACATAATAAAAATTAATTTGATAAAAAAAATAATAATACATGTCTAAAAGATTTATTAATTTTACATAATTTTATCTTTAGTGAATACAAATAATTTTTAAAAATTTAAAAATATTTTTTTGACTTTTATTTTCGTCAAATTAGTTTATGTTTTATCAAATTGATGATTTTACCCTTGAAATTGAGTAATGATATCTTCAACTATCCTTATTTAGAACAAAATTCAAAATTTATGATCAAATGTGTCGCAATTGAAAAGTCGGGGACCAAAGTGACACAAAATTCAAACTATAAGGACTATTAGTATAATTCGTGGATATATTTCTTCTTTTTTATTTTTCCTTCATGATATTTGGTTGCAGTTGTTCTTGTCATTAATTAGATCTTATCATATTTGGTTGCTTTTTATTTATTTATTTATTTATTTATGGGTTAGTTTTCTCATTTTTCTTTGTTTCTTTTTTCTGACAGCCTATGATGAATTATTGATATCTATAACAAGCCAAGTAAAAGTTAGAACAAACAAATCCAATCCCGGAAAAAAAAAGTACTAGAAAGGTTTTAAAATTTCCAATTTTGGGTTAGTTTTCGTTTTGTTTGGTCTTTTAAAAGTCAGTTTCTTTATCTGTGGCTATTGGGTTTTCATGCTCCTTTGATGGTTATTCCCACATGATGGATTTCAATTGCTTATAAGATTAGATTAGATTAGATTAGCTTCTCTCTTTTCTTCTTTTCTTTTTGAATAAATTACACTAATAGTCCCTATAGTTTGAGACTCGTGTCACTTTGGTCCATAACTTTTTAATTGTGATACATTTGATCCTGAATTTTGAATCTTGTTTCAAATAAAGACAATTGAAGATACTATTATTTAATTTCAAGGGCAAAATTGTCAAGTTACTAAAATATAAACTAATTTGACAAAAATAAATGTCAAAAAAATATTTTTAATTTTAAAAAAATTATTTTTATCCACCAATGATAAAATTATGTAAAATTGATAAAAATTACATAATTAATTTTTTTAAATTAATTTTACATGATCATCATTCAAACACATAATAAAAATTAATTTGGTAAAAAAAATAAATAAATGTCTAAAAGATTTATCAATTTTACATAATTTTATTTTTAGTGGGCATAAATAATTTTTAAAAATTCAAAAATATTTGTTTGGCATTTATTTTTGTCAAATTAGTTTATATTTTATCAAATTGACGATTTTACCCTTGAAAAATCTAATAATATTTTCAATTGTCTTTATTTAGAACAAGATTCAAATTTCAGGGTCAAATGTGTTACAATTGAAAAGTCAAGTATCAAAGTGACATAAGTCTCAAACTATAGGGACTATTAGTGTAATTCACCCAAGAAAGAAACAACCAGAGTTAGCTCTAGGCCTGCTGTGCCACCCTTAACGAGACCTAAGGTGAAATTTCAAATTGCAACAGGGGGATCTTCTATATTTAAATTTTAATTAATTTTTTTTATTTAAAATTTATTTTTCTATTATAAAATTTGTTAAATTTATTTACAACCTTTACTATTGGAGTTTTAGTCACGGATTTAATATTATTATTAATTTTTTGCTTAGCTTTTGTGTAATGAGAATTTTTTCTAAACCTTTAGATACATGACGTGGCGTTAGCTGTGATTATCTAATTAATTTAATTTTTTATAAATATAATATATTTAACAAATTTTAAAACATAAATAATTTAAAATATCGAAATTAAACTTAAAAGTAAGTTCAATAACCCAATAAATAAAAAAGTAAAAAGAGATTAAGAGAGGATCCTGATTCCCATTCTCCATTGGCTATTGATTGAAACACACTTATGTGGCAAATTTCCATTGGCCATTGGTGGAGCCACTCCATCTATTGGTTATCCACCACACCAGTTTCTGGAAGGATCCTGATAAGAATGGCAACGGGCTGGGGCCGGGCTGGGGATCACACTCCCCATCCCCGATCCTCGACGGTAAAAACTCCCCCGTCCCCGACCCCATCCCTGACGGGGAACTTATCACCACCCCCTTCCCCGCCCCCTAACAGGGATAGGGTTTCCCCGACCCCAAAAAATCCCCGACCAATTTTTTTTTGGGTTTTGTTTTGAGGTAGAAGGAAGAATAGATATACAAAGATACATAGATATACACAGATATATAATCCAATCTTGAGTGCAAGAACATATATACAAAGATACATACATTCACATACACACACGTAGAGGTTGTGCTCATCCTTCAGTTAAATAAAAACATTTCATGTAACATCAAATTAAATGCCCTACAGGCTTACATCTTTCCAAGCCAACACTTGGATACAAAAAATATGAGTTCTAACTCAATATTTCTAAACATGACTTAAGAGAGAAGCTATTGACTGGTCTTACATATCGTCACATAACCCTCACGTCTGTTTTGATTAATGAAGAAAATGTAACTCATAATTTTATTTTAAGCAATTAAAAAATATAAAAGATCATTAAAATTTATAATTAGTCAAAAAAATATATATATATGATCACGTACTCGTAGATTAATTAATAATTTTTTCTATACAAGCTCCATCACTTGCCTTGAACCTCTCCCCAGAGAAGTTATTTGGTGGTACACAAGCATTGTCTTACACCATTCATTTAAAGATAAATATTTAGGGTTAGTTTGCAATGTTCTAAAAAAATGTACTTTTTGACTTATTGACTTATATGGGTTGGGTTTGGGTTGAGTCTGATGTGATGTGTTAGAGAATTGATATGATTTAAATAAGATGATGTGACTTAAATAGGATAGTGACTTTTTGACTTTTTGTATTATTTAGGTTATGCCAAACTTGGCCTTAATGGGCTTGGCTTCTGTCCAGTCCTTAATCGGACTGGACTGTGCTGTTGGGCCCGTGGAGGCCCATCACGGGTCCCGTTTTGATAATCTGAACCGTTCAATGTGTAGAACTCGTCGAGTACTATAAGCCTGTAAAAAAATCACATTAATTGGATATCTGTAGCTATGTGATCAAATCAATTTTGTATAAAAAAAAATGGACGGTGAATAAATTAACGGTTGACAAAAATCTAATTTAATCACATAACTACCGATATCCGATTAACGTGATTTTTTACAGACTTATAGTACTCGACGAGTTCTACACATTAAACGGTTCAGATTATCAAAACGGGATCCGTGGTGGGCCCCAACGGGCCCAACAGCACGGTCCAGTCCTTATCCGATTAAGGACTGGACAGAAGCCAACGCCATATTTAATAATCTCTTGAAGAGAGATAAACAAATAACAAAAATATTAGAGATTTTAAAAGTTTTATCAAAATTTTTACTAAATATCACATAGGTATGAGATTTAAATAGGATTCACATAGTATGGGTTTCACATGAGATATTTGGTAAAAAAATTTTGATAAAACTTTTGGAATATGTAGCCTTATTCAAAAATAATAAATTTCACTAATTCAACCAATGAAAACTAAGGGCTGGTTTGACATGTTTGAGAAAAGTTAAAAAGTTATCATTCTATTTAAGTCACATCATTTTATTTAAGTCACATTATCTTTCTAACATATCACTTTAAACCCAACCTAAACTCAACCTATATTTCATAAAAAATCAAAAAATACACTTATTTAGATCATCTTAAACAACTTTTAAATTGGACCACCATATCAAATTGCCCCAGAAGCAAAGAATAACTTTCCCCCTCCCAATCATTTTCCTTGTAAATAATTATTAGAAGAGCCAGGCAATGCTCATCCCCTCTCTGAACACGCCCACACACCACATTCCTGGAGACGCCCAAATAAATACTCCATCTCCATCTATACATGTAGTGCAAATTACAGTCCACCCCTCCAATATGGGTTATTAATATTATTACTTTACCCCCTCACTTAAAAAATTATTATAATTTCTTTCTTCTTAAAATATTCTCACCTGTTACAATTTCAACTTTCTATTTATCATTTTATTATGAAAAGAAGACCGGAACAATAGCATGTGAGCTGACATAATCAAAATAGAAGTCTTCCTTTCTTGTAAATAAATATATAATACAAAATGTAAAATTGGCACGTACTGTTTATATTTTTTTGTCTTATTTTTATAAAAATATAATATATAAATTTATTTTTTAGATTCAATAATGTATAAAAAAAATAATTAATTAATAATTAAAAAATATATAAAAGAGAGATAATTGCATTAGATGTTTTAATAGGTTGTTATATTATTAGATTGAAAAGTGAATCTAATTTTTGAGTTAAAGTAGTGCTTTGGTTTTTTTTTTAAAAAAAATAATATAATGCTAATAGAATATTGAGATAGAAACAAATTAAAAACTTAGGAGGTGAAAATATAATATAATTGTTAATTGAGGGGATAAAGTTATAAATAGCCCTTAATTGAGGGGGGTGTAGTGTAAATTGACTCATTATCCAATCCACCATTTCTGTGCAACTACCTGTCCCCAGGTCAGCATTGTGCTCTCTCTCTCTCTCTCTCATTTTTCTGAACTGTCTCTCTCTCTCCACTTCTCTCTCCACTTGGATTCTGCTTCTTCGCTCTCTCTCTCTCTCTCTCTCTCTCTCTAAAAATGGAGCTAGTTCCATATTCAGACCCCAAATCAACCTCAGCTTCTCCACCATGGCAAGACATGTTCCGATCTGCCTCCGTCCGCAAACCCGACCCATCTCCCCAGACCCAACCACCACCTTCCTCATCGGAAAACCCACCTCCACTTCCACCTCCGCCGCCGGAGTCCCTCTCCGGCGACCCTCAGGTACGCCTCGCTCTCTACATAGCCATGGCCCACGCTGGTCTTGCCTTCGCCATTTTCATTCTCTACGGCGTTTTTCGAATCCTCGAAGAATATCTTCGTCCCCTTCAATGGGCTGTGCTCTGTTCAATCCCTTTGAGAGGAATTCAACAAACCCTTGTTGGGTTTTGGTCAGAACCCTTGAAATTGGGTCTCACTGAGACTCTATTGGCAGTCCCTGTAGCTGTGTTTAGGGTTTTTGTTGGTACCCTTGTTGATATTCGTGATGTTTTTTTCCGGGTTGTTTTCCGGAGAAAGAAATCCAATGTTTTGAGGCGAAATCGAAGTGGGTTTTCGAAATTGATCCGTTGGCTTGTCTCCTTTTGGGTTTTCGTAATTGCTTACGAGCAAATCGGAATAATTGGGGCTGTGTCATTACTTGTTTTGGGATTTATGTTCTCTTCCAATGCTGTTGAATCGACAATGTCCACAGTTTCGTCGATTAGGAGTAATAGTTTTCGACGTAGTACTATTAGTGCATTTTTCACCGGAGGAATACTAAAAAGATTGAAAACAATTGTGGCTATTGGATTGATAGTTGGAATGATTCTTGGGTTTTTAGTAGGCTTGATTTTCTTTTCATATAAGATAGGAATTGAGGGGAAAGATGCTGTGATTTCGTTGAAATTGCACGTAGAAGAGAGTAATTACACAGAGAAGATCGGAGTAAAGAAGTGGATGGATGATAATGATGTGCCGGGGATGGTGGATAGGTACAGTTCCCAGTTTTATGAAACTGTGTCTGAGCAGATTGATAGTTTGGCAATGCAGTACAATTTGACAGAGTTTGTTACTGGGATCAAACATTTCGCTATAAGCCCATCGGTGAATTCTTCTGGGCGTTCCACTGCAATGATGACCCCATCCCCGTACACTGAGAAAATGTTGAGTTTAAGGAAGAGCTTTGGGAATCGTGAGTGGGGTCAAATTTATACAGAGGTGGATGCAATCTTTAGGGAATTGCTGATCACCAGAGAGGATTTGGTTGAGAAAGCGAAAGCCTTTGCCATTCAAGGAATGGATGTGACTCAGCGCATATTCACTAGTAGTAAAACTGTTCTAGGTGGTAGTGCTAAGTTCATGCTATCGATTGGTAATTCAATACTCTCTGGAGCTGCAGGGCTTTTCAATTTTGTGTCTCACTCGATGGTTTTCTTTTGGGTTTTGTATTATCTTATAACATCCGAGTCGGGTGGAGTAACAGAACAAGTTTTGTGTATGCTTCCCATTTCAAAATCCGCAAGGATTCGTTGCGTTGAAGTTCTTGATAAGGCTATTTCGGGAGTTCTGTTGGCAACTGCTGAGATTGCTTTCTTTCAAGGATGTCTCACTTGGCTTTTGTTTAGATTATACTCGGTACACTTCTTGTACATGTCGACTGTAATCGCATTCATAAGCCCCTTGTTGCCAATCTTCCCATCGTGGCTTTCAACCATTCCAGGGGCCTTGCAATTGGTATTGGAAGGTAGATATGTATTGGCAATCAGCTTATGCATTAGTCATCTTCTGCTTATGGATTATGGCACATCTGAAATTCTAGAGGATGTGCCTGGTCATAGTGCATATCTCACCGGGCTTAGCATCATTGGTGGGATGACATTGTTCCCATCAGCTGTGGAGGTAAACCGTCCACAATTCTTTCTCTTTTGTTCTTCATCATGATTCTCCATAATTTGCTCTTCCTTGTCTTCCTATTCTGCTACTCTATGAAATGTAGGATACTTCTAAAAAGGGTGTTGTATTTGTATCGGATACCGATACTCCTCAGATGGTCACAAATTCGTATCTCTGATATTTCCTATACGCATATGTTATTTGACTTAATTTTGAGGAGTATCATATACTTTTCAAACACTCTACGTCACATATCCAAATTATTATGACATTGAAATTGTAATAATTTTTGCATATTATTATAATATAATTGTTAGAATAAATTCAATACACTTTGTTTGGTTTCCATTTTTTAAAAACAGTTTTCAGAAAATTCTACACTCTTATTTTCCATGTTTTTTTGTTTTTACTGAATTTTTTTAATATTTTATGCAAATTTTTTACTTTTTAGGCACACCTAACATAAATACACCTAAAAAGTAAAAAAAATGTAAAAAAAAAATCTTTTAAAAATTCACTAAATACCAAAAATACAAAAAAAGAAATACAAGAATTTAGTATATTTTTTGTATTTTTATGTATTTCTTAATTTTTTAAAATATTTTTTCACAATTTTTTTACTTTTTAGACACATCTAAGTAAGTTGCATCTAAAAAAGTAAAAAAAATGTTTAAAATTTTAAATATATTCACTAAAAACAAAAAAACACGAAAATCAAAAATTCAGTTTTCAAAAAACTTAATCCAGAAAACTCAAACCAAACAAAATGAACGGTTTTTTTTTTTTTTGGTAATTTTTCTTAAATTTCATAGAAAAAATTAGAAATCAGTAATAATTTCACAAAATATTTACAAATTCATGAAAAAATTTATAATTTTAATTTTTAAAGTTGATAAAATTTACCACTAATTTAAAATTATTTTTAAAAACATACACTTGATTTGCAATTTTTCTAATTTTATATTATATAGAGTAAAGGGTAAGTATTGAAAATGTCGTAATACCTGTTACAAAACTCTAATGTCACATTATTCCTAACTTGTAAAATTAAAACCCTATTAATCACTATTACACGCATGAAAAACATAAATCTCAAAATTATACAAATCAAAAATTGTTTTTTCAACACTTACCCATATGATCAATGGCCGAATGAAGAAGATACATAGCATCACAAAAGCTATGCTCGAGAGGATGACCCATAGAGAAGCCAACGATGAAGTGTCGTTTTCAGATAAAGCAATGGCGAAAGCTAAGAGAATCCAAGCGCAAACATCGTTGATGAGAGCCGAGGACATGGCGATTCGGCCGATCTCCGTGTTGAGGAGTTTGAGCTCAGCGAGTATTCGAGCAAGTACCGGGAAAGCGGTGACCGAGAGAGCGACGCCGAGGAAGAGAATGAATGTGCCTTGTTTGGTTTCTTGGGATTTTTGGTGGAGGATGAACGAGAAAGAAATGCCGACTATGAAAGGGAGGATCATACCGGCGATGGCGATCGCTAGGGCTTTTTTACGGGTACGCCGGAGAACGGCGAGGTCCATTTCGACTCCCACGAGGAAGAGGAAGTAGAGTAGACCTACGTTTGCCATTGTTTCGAGTACCATGACACTTCTTAGTGGAAATATTGTATTTGCGAATTCCTCATGTTGGCCCAGTACTGATGGACCTAGTATCACTCCACCCTGGAAACATTGAGCAAACCCACAAATTATTTGAAAATTTTGGTCCCCTTTGGAAAATTGACTATTTTAATAGATTAAAATATTTATATTTGAGAAGATTGTTACATTTTTTTATAATTAAATTTGATATTTGTAAGAGAAAAAGTAAAATGATTATGAATTTGATATGACAATTTGTCTTTTTGACTATTTTAATATATTTTATATTTTTGTGAATTTTTTTTTTTTT